AACCATCTGGCTCACTGATACTAGGGCAGATACTTGCATTTTTTTTTCCTAGGAAAGAAATCAGGTTTGTGTTGCTCTATCTCTGTTAGACAGTTCTAGAAACCATTGTGGAAAACCTCAAGCTTGGGTCAGAACCTCGGGACAGAGAGAAGCTTATGGGAGCCCTCACCAGAAGGACACCCCATCGCCCTGACCTCCGCTAGTATCAGGCCCCACCTGAATCCCAGGCCCGACCAGGACATGGATGCCGTGGGCCAGACCGATCGTGGGCCAAGAGTTCAGGCTTCTCTGAACCAACGTCCTATATAACACGGGCAGCAAATGGCATCATGGCTCAACAGTGCCCCCCCCCCACCATTCCCCCTTGTGGGTTTTTTGGGGTTTTTTTTAATGGCTTGAGGTATCTTTCACCTACCACATAGTGCATCCATTTAAAGTGTGGGATTGGATCGCGTTTAGTCTAGTCATGACGTTGTAGGACTATCACCACAATTTTAGAACATTTTCATCACCTCAGCGAGAAAGCCCATATCCTTCAGCCATCACCTCTGTCCTCCCTTCTACCTCAGTCCCCGCCAACCACCATCTACTTCCTGTCTCCCTGGACTTGCATAGAAAAGGAAGCACACACTGTGTGGCCTTCTGTGACTGGCTTCTCTCACTCGGTATCATGTTTTTTTTGAGGTTCATCCATGTTGTAGCATTTGTCATTACTTCCTCTCTCTTTATGGCCAAATAGTATTCCCTTGTGTGGAATTTTATTTATTTTACTTTATTTATTTATTCATGTATTCATCGATGGGTCAGTGGTTCTTTAAAAAGATGTCCAGTGCTGATTCTGTGAGTTTTGTGGAGTTTCGTGGCCAGCTCCATGCCCCTACCCACAAGGCAGGCCCGGGGTTTGCTGCTCACTGACCATATTCTGTTAGTGGCCAGGATCTCCTTGAGACATGCAGGTGGCTCAGCTGTGATATGGAGGATATTCAGAGTGAGAGGTTCCAGCTCAGCCATAGGAGGTGACAGTGATGCTGGACGAGTTCTTCTGGTGCCCCGTGGGCCCTGGCACCCTCCTGCCAACAGCCCAGCCCTCACGCTGCATGACCCACAATGGCTGGGAGAGGCCTCGAGATGCTCAGGTGGATCCAGCCACCTGTCTGTCCCTGCCCTGTGCCTTCTGCCTCTCACCTGTCCTCCTCCCCTAGGTTTGCCAAGTACTACAGTCACCTGACTGGTGCTGAGCACCGCACGCTCATCAAGGCCTATGGCATCCGCTTCGACATCATAGTGTTTGGAAAGGTAGCCTGGCTACCCCCTCCTCTCGGGGCTCTGGTTCAGACCCAGGCTTCTGGGTTGGCCAGAGACAAGGGGCCCTCTCCCCACCTCTTATCTGCTCATGCCCTCTATCACGACTTTTTCTTTTTCCCCTGTCATTTGGAGGCTGGGAAATTTGACATCATCCCCACCATGATCAACGTCGGCTCCGGTTTGGCGCTCTTAGGGGTGGTGAGTGACTTAGACTGCTCCTTCACCCCCGGGCCTGGGGCCCTCCTCAGCAGTAGTTAGCCCAGCGAGGTGAGACCCTCCACTGGCGTCTTGGTTCTTCCCCTTGACCCTAAACTCGTTTCTAGAGTCGACCCTCTAGGCTTGTGGCCCTTGCCTCCAGCCCCCCCTCACCTTTGCTTCTTCAAGACCGCAGCCCTTGGGGCCTCACCTTTTCCAGAGAAGGGAGAGCCTTGCCTTTACTTTCCTTGAAAGGTTCTAGGCTTTGTGGGAAGGGGCATGCGCAGAATAGCAGGGGCGAAAGCATCCCGGCTCCTCCTCTCTCACCCTGTGCCACACTCAGGCGACGGTGCTATGTGACGTCATAGTCTTCTACTGCATGAAGAAAAGATACTACTACCGGGAGAAGAAATACAAGTATGTGGAGGATTATGAGCAGGTAGGCCCCCTCCTGAACTCCAGAAGGCAGGAAGGTCCAAGCACCTTGCCTCCTGCACCTCTTTCTTGTCCCAGTGGTGAGCACCTGGAGTACTGGGCCGTCTGGGGGAGGCCCTAGCACAGTGGTGCTATTGGGCATGTGGTCAACCCAGGCAGCCGCACAGCGCTCCTTCTCTGCTCCACTTCTAGAACATCCCTCTTTAAAATCTAGCCTCGCGGGGTGCCTGGGTGGCTCAGTCGTTAAGCATCTGCCTTCGGCTCGGGTCATGACCCCAGGATCCTGGGACCGAGCCCCGCATCGGGCTCCCTGCTCGGCGGGGAGCCTGCTTCTCCCTCTCCCTCTGCCTCTCCCCCTGCTTGTGCAAGTGCGCACTCTCTCATGCTCGCTCGCTCTCACGCGCGCGCATTCACTCTCTCTCAAATAAATAAAATCTTTAAAAAATAATAAAATAAAATGTAGCCTCATTTTAATTAGTGACATCTCAGGTTAGTTACAATAGTGAATATTATCACAAAACCCCACACTAAACTTGCCTTGCATAGCAAGAGGGGTTGGGTACCATGCTTTGAGACCCCCCCCCGCATGAGGACTAACTTGAGTATGTTCCGTTGTGAAGGGCTGCCCAAAAGTCCTGGCTCTCACCCGCCCCAAATGGTCCAGACTTAGCTGTGGGCAGCACCTGGTGGGTGTACGTCTATCCATAAGCATATCAGTCAACGATAAGCATATCATTCTTTGCAGGGTCTTGGCGGTGAGATGGACCAGTGATGCTTCCTCCACACTGGGCTCCCCCCGGCCCTCATCAGAGCACAGCCAAGAGGGAGAAGAGGCTGCCGTGTCACCTCAGAGAAGGTTCCAGATTCTGAATCCATCTCCACTGCACAAGAACTTCATGGTCGCCCAGCTGCTTTGTGTGTAGGATGTGAATAGTAAACCACCCTGACACTTGCGGGTGTTGGGGCGACTTCTGGCCCAAGGGCGGTGGTGTTCCTGCCACTGCAGACCTGGGGGCCTCATCCAGAACCAGCCTTCCCTGGGGGGCTCCCAGCTCCAGCTCCCTGTGAGACAGGCCCAACTGAGGCCCGGCACTCGGTGCAAGCACTTCATGAGGGAAGGAAGGACAGCCGGGTGTGGTCGCTGGACCTCCAGCACATGCTGTCACGGGACAGTGTGTGTCCTTTGAGAAAAGGCACGCTGAGGTGGTCAAGGACCAAACATTAAAAAGATTTTCTCAATCTTTGTGTGGTTTCATAGCACGAACTAGAACTTTCCTCCCTTCCCTTTTACTTCAACCAGTAAACCCATTTGTTGTCCCAGCTCACTGTGCTCAGAAAAAAACTTCCTGAAGCAGTCTGCGGTTGGAGCTTAGGCGTTTTCCCCCTGCTTCGACCTTCTCCTGAAGGCCTGAGAGTTTTGATTTTTGTTAGGTTGTGTTCCTACAGAATTTACAAGATTTTGTCCTGTAGTGACTACTTGTCTTACCCGTGCATCTGGTGGTGTTTTTTTGTTTTTTTTTTTTACCCAAAATTGTGGTACTACACCGTGGAGGACACAATTTTAGATAATAAGAACATGGCTTATCCTTCTCCCCTCCCCTTTGCTTTCCAGAAGTCTCCAAGCCACAAGCAGCACCACCTACACCTACTTTGTTTGAAATGTTAATGAGGTTATTTCTAGCTGCGCCTTCACACCGACTTAATTCTGCAACAAGTCTTCAGGATCTCCTTAAAGAAAGCTGCTTGCCTGCCCCCCCCCATCATGAATTCATTTCCAAGTACCAAAGGGAACGTTTATTTTAGAAGTGCCTGCTTCTGCTGGATAAAACCTGGGCTTTTGTTGCTTTGGGGGGCAGGAAACATTTACTGAACCCCTTTGAAAAAGCTCTGGTTCGTGCTGCCTTTTTGAAAAAAAAAAAAAGCCTGCCTGAACACATGGATCGAGTGGAGCTGGAATTTTTTAGGGACGGCTTTTCATCTTGCAGCCTAAGACGCGATAGTTACTGGAGTGGGGAGAGACTTCTTTTGGCCTCCCTTTTTCTCAGAATGCTAAGGCCATCTGGGGTGAAGGATGGGGGAGGCATTGCTTACTTTACTCACCAGGCCTTCAGCTATATTCCCACTTGCTGGCCCTCCCTGGCGCTGCTGCTTAAGTAGGGGTCCTTCACCTTTGCACCCATGGAGGGCCTTCCGGGAGTCTCTGGAACTCCTAAAACTGCAAAGCGATGCACCTGTGTTCATTTCTTTTGGCTTTCATTAGATTCTCAGTGGGGTCTTTGAATAGGAACACCTGCTCTTGACTCTTAAATGCCAGTATTTCAAAGTTGTATTTCTGCAACAACAGAACAAGGAGTGTTCACACTTCATCTGCTGTCCCTTCATAACAGAAAGCCAAGGTTCAAAGCCAGTAAGGCAATGCCATGGGCTGGATTCACATTTGGAGGGCAGGGAACCCCCAGACCCTAGCCTGGAGGAAGCATCAGTTCTAAAACAGTCTCCAAACACCATGAAAACTATCCAAGCTCTGTAGAACCCTGCATTTGCTGACAAAGGTGGAGCCCTTGGACAACTAACTTTTCTGAGCCTCAGTTTACACGGGATGATCCATAAAATGGGATAAATACCCACCTTGTGGGGTGATGTGTCCCACAACATGCCTCCTCACAGGATGTGTTCCATGTGTAATTAATACCGCTCCCAGAGCTGCTCACCTAGTTGGTCTCCAACAGAAGAATCTAGCAATTACCTGCCTGCTAAAGCAGTGCCTCTCAGACTTCCGTGGGCACATGAGTCACCTGGGGATCTTGTTTAAATGGGGCCTGGGAATTTGCACTTCCAACCCACTCCCAGGAGATGCTGACGCTCCCGGTCCAGGGACCACACTTTTAGTAGTGGGATACTAGGACATGGTTACACAGACATGAATAATGTAATGCTGAATACATTAGCCCTGACTTGGGCATTTGATCTCACAGTCAGCCTAAGGAAGAAAAACAGACGTAAGGACGGATGTCCTACAGACATCTGTAAACTGACCAACAAAAATACCTCCAAAAGGCCCAGGCTTTGCACCATTTTGCTGTCTGTTTATTTCAAGTTTACAGAGAAGCTTAAACATCTGTGGAAAAACACCAAAGGCTTATTTTTCTCTTAAATTCATGTACTTTTAAGTGATAAATACACAGTATTTAACTTTGTACACCTGATAAAAGGAAAATGCATAGTAGAAAGGATCAGGAATAAAACAGAAGCATCGGGCATTAAATCAGACACAGAATAAAAAAGTCAGCAGTCCCACGAAACTCGGCCCATAAAGCTGCAAAGAGGATGGGAACCGACGACCTTGAAACCTTCTCTAGCACCTTGGAAGCAAGTGGAGGTCATGGTTCTTCCCCCCAGCAATGCAAAGCTCCCCTTTGGAAGATGAGTGAGAGCAATAGGTTGAGCCCATGCATCTAAATGCTCAGGTATTCGCCTCTTCGTTCCAGAAAGGCTTTAAGGATGGGAGCCCTAACTCACGGGAAAGGCCAAATCCCTGGGGAGATGGCCTCTCCAGCCCCCAGAGCCAACAAGGGGCTAGCTAAGGCTTTCTGGGAGCCTCCGGTAAGCCTGTGGAAGAGACGAGGAAAGTGGAGCAGGGCAGAGGAAGATGGGGCAAGAACTTGTGCAGGCCCCAGGTTGCTTACACCAAATTGGTCCCACAGATGAGCCAGCAATGGAAGAAACTGATAGGGCATCCTTTTTGCTCACCCAGAGAAGCTGCCCATGATGGCTTCTCCCCTTTCCTGACAGAGCCAGCTTCCGAAAAACCAGTGTTTGTGCTCCAAGAGAACGGTAACCCTACCGCTTGACAGTAAGGCCCTCTGCTTATACTTTTTGAGGGGAGCAGTTCCTTCGCACAGCTTTCTTTGGTGTTTCTTTGGGAAAAAAAAGTTATGAACCCACCTGCCTAAACAGCCGGCATTCCGCGTATGAAATCTTACGTGGGGAATTCTGTGGCGGAAGAAACGGTCTTGCCCGATGCAGCTGTGTAAACAGGAGTTCTGCAGAGAGCGTGCTACCTGCCCGCCCCGGGCGAGCCGCTCGGCCAGGCCACAGTCACACAGACAGGCCGGGACTAAGGACAGGTTCACTTGAACTACTGCAAGGTGCTTATTGCAAACTAACCAGACCCCATCTGCTCCCAGAAGGGGTGGTGCCTATAAGTACAAACAAGCGCAGGAACGCCAGAGGAAGTACCAGGTTACAAAAAGAAAGCAAGCAGGCCAGACAACCCTTCATCTGACGGTTGTCCTTTGCTCTTGGAAACCAGCATTCCTTAATTCTGTACTGCTTATAAGACAGCAAGAAAAGTCTGGCTAAATGACAGTCAAGAGCTTACGAAGGTTTGTGGAAGCCAAGAACACCCAGGCTCTGTGATGCGCTGGGTAGCGGGGGCACGAGGCCTTGCTCCCATCTCTCTGCAAAAAGTCCTCCTACCAGCGATGATCAGACAGAAACTACAGGAGAGCATGTCCTCTCAGCCCAGTTCGACACTATTTCCCCCAACCAGAGTCCACAAAACACTGGGAATGTCCCCGAGCAAAGGCCTTCCTGTTTTCCTCCCCCGTGAACTTCACCCTCCTCCATGTGTGGCTCTGAGAAAGAAGTCACACTTGAACTGCAGTGAGAATCCCCAGTACAAGCGGAAACCCAAAAAGATAAACCTTTTCTGTCTGGGACTGTTGGCTTACAAAGCAGAACTCCCTGTGCCAAGCCCTGGCTCTCTTGGACCCTGAGGACCACTCTGGGTTTCAACAATCCTCTCTAAAAGGGCGCCCCAAAGTTCTTGTGTAGATCCTAACAGAGCTTTGCCGGTAAGGATGATCATTTGTGTTTCCGCTGAAGCCGAGTATTTCCTCACTGGCCCTCCAGAAACTAAGTGCTTCACTGACTGCAACAATCAGCTAGTATTTGAGAAAATAAAACCTCCGCAGTCTCTAGAACACACAGGTTACAAACAGACCAAGCTGCTAATATACAGGCACAGATTTCATTGGCTCTAACTCTGATCACATGCCTGAAGCCGTGGAAAGTATCCTGGAAGCTCTAAATGATCTCTGAACTACTCTAGAGTTCAGTCTAGTTAGAGAATCGAAAATATTTTATTTACTCGTAAGCCATGTAATGTACATGGAAGTGTAGGATTTCACCCTGAAGTTTTTGTCATTTAACAAGAGATTGACCAGAGCTCCGTTAATATTTCAGAAACTCGCTGTGAGTGGCTATCAGTCCTTTAGGTGAAACCTCCCCCCCCACCCCCCGCCCCACAACAACCACGGAACGCCCTTCGAGGGGGGGAAAATCCCCTTTGCGAAGCAATTAAGCTTCAAGCCCTTTCCCTTTTCCTGACTACAACTCTACCCATAAAAAAATGTGAAGTCCTTCTTACAAATAAGGTGCATCGAAGCTCCCTGCAGCTAACTGAGGGCTAGCCCTGCCCAGACCCCGTGAGTCCACAGTCCTGGAAGGTGCCACGGGCCTGGAGTTTGGGGCCTTCGGGGTTTGCAGGAGGAGTGACAGCCCCTCTTCCTCTCCCTTTCAAACGCAGCAACTAACTCTGTGGTCTCAGCCCACACCGCCAGAGTTTTCTGCCGGTTTTGCATGATTTACAAACCCCACACACATTCACCTGGTATATCTGACATGGTTCTGAGTTCACAATGAAAGATTTTTGGCATAAAAACATTTTAAAAAGCAATTGTCCCAAAATGCATGTGGCTTTGGGTCTGCAACTCCTCACACCCGCCCGTTCAGCCAGCCAGCGGCCAAGGTCGATGTCATGGAGTCAAGTCTTTTTTTTTTTTGTCCCCTTGAAAACAACAAAGGAAGAAAAACAAAACAAAACAAAAACACCAGAGATGACGGTCAAGGCTCTACACACGTGCTGGGTTTCCGTAGGACATGCTGCTATGGAAACGCAGGGTGCAGCCTGCATGCGAGGTCACGCGTCCGGGCAGCTACTCCATCACCTCGTCGGGCCGCAGAGGATGCATGCGAGCGCGGGGGCCGGGGGCCGGGGCCCCCCAACTCTCGGCGCGGGGACCGCCTTTCACAAGAGCACTTCCTCCTCCCCCACGGGGGGCGGGTCGGGGCCCCGGAGGCTGTCTTCGCTGCCTTGCTTCCTGCTCACCGAACAGAAAACCCACGTTAAGGCAAGGCTGCCACGGCCTGAGCCGGCGTCTCCCGCGTTCCCGCACCACCTGGAACGTCACTGACTTCGCTCTTCCCTTTACAGTCTCTCCCCTTTTCTTGCCTATATGAAGTTTCAAAGGAGACTTTGCATTCCCCTCAGTAAATGGAAAAGCAGCATCATTTGCCAAAAATAGAAAGGAACTATAAAAATAGATGCGAACCTATCTGTGTAACACCTAAACTCCTCCCACGTGAGTAGTGTGCAGCCAGCGATGGGGCCTGTTCACAGAGGTTTTTAGGTATCTTGACGTGTCCCCCGACCCCAAGCTTCCTTCTTCAGGCTAAGGTTGAAGATTCTTCAGTCACCTGAAGGTGAGCTTCCTGGGGGCAGCAAGCAGGACCACCTGGGTTTGGCCTGGCACAGAGCCGGCCTTTTGGAAATGGTGGTCAAGAGGACTGTCCCCAGCACACAGGCCCATGGGACACCTTGGATGGAGAGAAGGGCCCAACTCTTGGCGATGTGAGTGATCAGAGCAGGAGAGACCAAGGAGATGGGAGGAAAGGTGTCCTCGTGTCCCTGGGAGGTCATATCCTGAAGTGCCCCCAGCTAGACCTGCCTGGGGGTGGGGGGGGGTGGGGGGAACAGACACAGGTTGAACTAAGGAGCTAGGAAGGAAAATCCCTGAGGAGAAGCCCAAATCGCTTGCCACCAGCCAACAATAATGGCTCCTTCTAAGGGAAGCCACTGGGCTTGCCACACCAGACTAATGTCTACTGTGTGTCCCTGGCCAGAAGCAAAACTCTGTCCCGGCACAAGGAAGAGAAAGCCAGATATCTGTGACCCTCTCTGTTTCAAGAGCAGGCTCATTGGTTTTTGTTTCTGCCAAAGCAGAGGGGGTCAAAACTCCCAGGGAGGAGAGCTCTAACTAGATGTCAAATCCGGGCCTCAATTTCTGCCCTGGAGGCGCCTGCCTGTACCAGCTGGGTGTGGTTGCAGACGGGGCGGGGGGGCAGGCCGTGCGCCCGAGGCCTCGGACAACTGAATAAGCCCTCGGAACTCCAGACTCCAGACTGCTGGGTCATTCGGACAACCAGAGCATCCCACCAGCAGCCTGAGGGCAAGAGCAGGTAATCCCCAGGTTTTGCTGGGACTACTGGTGAGGGAATTAAAGGGGCAGTAAAGCCCTTTGGGCCAATCTCTGGGTATCTTGCGATTTTGAGCTCACTGAAAATAAGAAACAGATGACAGACTTGTACACAGACGGGGCAAACCCTAAAACTTGAGATTTGAGAAGAAAAAGGGCAGCCCATTAGGCTTCCACTCACTGTCACCCTGGGAGGCTCAAAGAGCAAGCGGCAGAGAACTGGGGAACCACCTGGCAGGGATGAGGCAGCCTTCTCGGGCTGCCGACAACTGGCCGATGGCTAACTGCCGCTTTCCCTGATCCTAAACTGTCCGCTAGCTGACTACAGGCCCCTGACTCCTGCGCTGCGGGGGCCAGTAAACTTCATCTCGTGAGCCAGCTCCCAACGCACAGAAATGGCCGCTTGCTCGTATGTGGATGTTCGCAGCGGCAGGCATTCGTGACAGCCCAAGTGGAGACAATGTCCATCACCGAATGAATGAGGAATAAAATGTGGTCTACCCGTACAATGACATACGGTCTGGCCAGAAACAGGAAGAAGCGCTGACGCCTGCTACATCGTGGATGAACCTTGGAACATGATGCTGAGTGAGAGAAGCCAGACGCAAAAGCTCACACGTTGTACGGCTCCGTTGACAGGGGGTGTCTAGAACAGGGCAACTCCATAGACACCGAGAGGAGATTAGTGGCGGCTGGGAAAGGGGAGTTGGTGGTGACAGAGGAGGGTACAGGGTTTCTTCTGGGGCTAATAAAAATGTTCTAAAATTGATTGTGGTCTTAGTTGTACAAGTCTGTGAATATATTAAAAACCACTGAATCATACCCTCCAAATGGGTGAAACATACAATATGTGAATTATATTTCAATAAAGCTGCTCTTAAAACATAGAAATGGCTTTCCAACGATAAAATTTTAAATGTTAAAAAAAATTAAGAAAAAATACATAGAAATGACTGCCTGGAGCTCCCAGCTGAGGATGAGGTAGTGAGTTGAGCTCAAAGGAAGGAATCCTAGAACTTCTATCTTGCCATAGGCACTAGGGGGAGGAGAGGCAGCAGGGGTGCTAAGTGTTAGTCATCTTAGTCCACAGGGACAAAAATTCCCATCTGTCCTGGGAGCTGCTGGCAATGCTGACAAGGCTATGTGTTGAGAAGAGGGACGGCCAAAGGGAAAAGGTTCAGATCCACCGTGGGGACAGAGGACTCTTACACTAATTTGCAGCAGGCTGGAAGGGAACTTATTTTCTAGGTCTTCACCCATCCGAGAAGAAGGGGTGGATGCCGGAGAGCCCCAGAACACTGCATGCCTGATCTATGCTCTGACCACACGGACCCAGGGCAGGGGCAGCCACGGGACCCTGTTGTGACACAGCTTCAATGCCATTGCCGTGCCCTGAGCGTATGTGGGTACCAGACTGGGTCATGAGACCTGGGTGAATTCGCAGGCTTTCCGGGTGGAGCGCCATGCACCCGCAGCCCCAGCCCACATGCACGACCCGCCGTCGGGTCCAAGCCCCTGGCTGGCCCTGGTTTTTATCTTAGGTCCAGAGGCCCGAGGTGGAAGGACCCTCCGCCCGGGGGGGGATGCCCCGTGCTCTGCAGCTGCCCCCGCCCCCAGGCTCCGGCAGAGGCTACAGCGCAGGCAGGCAGGCATTACCTTGGGCTCAGACAGGGGCTCACACTCCCTGGTTGGTTTTTTGCTGGAATGGCCAGAGGGGAGGGAAAAGGGAAGTAAGAAGGGACACTGGGGATCTCTGAGATGCCTGCCCCCCACCCCAGAGACACTCAGACCCCCAACACCAGCTTCACAGAGCTGCTGCCAGGGGGATTTTGAGCACGGCGCCTCTGCGGTTGACACAGGGTCACGTGGGTGAGGCAGGCCTTGCTCCTCCATCACAGGGCCCACAATCCCACCATCAAGCATGCATGCTTCCGGGCCACAAAAATGCTTTCTGATTGTCAAGCGGTCCCCCAGGTAAAGTGCAAGTCTCCCTGAGAAAGGTAAAACTGCAGCATGGGTTAGCTGTCCGCAAGAGGAGGTGGGCTGAGCCCGGCGCGGGGGCGAAACTCTCCCTCATGAGCCTAGGAGACCTGCTCTGAGTCATTCCAGGCGCTTCCTTCCACTCCAGGGATGGGCCCAGGCAGGGTGCGCTGGGCAGGGCTGCCCTGTGTTCAGCCTCTAGCTCCCCACCCCAGAGGAGGGCGGGTGGACACTCACGTGAGCAGGTTTCCAGGCGCTGACAGGGAGCGCTCCTCCCGCCGGCTGCCCTCAAACGGGTTCCCGAAGGAGCGTTTCCGTATCATGGTCTTCACCAGGATCTGAAGGACAGAAGAGGAAGCTGAGCCTCCTGGGCGACTCCAGGCAACGTCCTCCCCTGCGCCACTCTGCAAGGGCCATCTCCCTCTTCCTCTCTCCCCCAGCCCCCGGCCGCTTCCGCGGCTCGTGGCTGGCGACAGGCCTTTGGGAGATCCTGGGCAGCATCCCTCCACCGAGGACACAAAAGCCAAAGCTTTTGTGACTAGTCCCGTGTCCGAAACCATTCATGTCTCCCTGACTGCCAAGAAGATAAGGTCCACACCCCTTGTCTGACATCCTCCTTTCTTAATCTTGGTCTACCTGAGCCCCAGGGGGGGACCCCGTGCTCCACGAGAGCTGGCCAGCACTGTCCCTCCAGTAACTTGGCACCACTCATCTCACCCAAGCCATCGCTACCCCTGCCCTCTTGGCCCATCAACCTGTCTCATCTTCAAAACTGGGCCTTTATTTTCGGTGAAAACTATCTGGCCACCCCAACAAGGAAGCAATTATTCTTTTCTGGGCCAAATTCAGGGGCTGCACTTCTTTTTTAGTTGAAATATAAGTCCCACAGTCGAATACTCACCATTTTAAAGTGTACAGTTCAGTGGTTTCTAGTATATTCACATCACCACTATCTAACTTCAGAACATTTCCATCACCCCAAAAAGAAACCCAGTACTCACACCCCATTGCCCCTCCCCCCAGGCCCTGGCAACCACTGATCTCTGTTCTGTTCTACGGATTCGTCTATTCTGGACATTTCATATAAACGGAATCACACGGTATGCAGCCTTCCGTGTCGCTTCCTGCACTGAGCACCAGGTTCTCAAGGCTCCTACGGTTGCAACAGGTATCAGTACTCCCTTCCTCTTCGTGGCCAAATAATATTCCTTTGTATGGATACACCTCCACTGGTGGACATGTGGGCTGTTTCCAACTTTTTGGCTGTTGTGAATAATGCTGCTATGAACATCTGTGCACATGTTTTTGTGTGTGGACCTGTTTTCCCCACAAAATGTTCTCATTTCTCTTGGGTCTGTACCCCGGAGTGGAATCTTTGGATCACGTGGTGACGTTGACCATTCTGAGGAACCGCCAGACTGTTTGCTACAGTGGTTACACCACACGAGGGTACCAATTTCTCAGAGGGCTGCATTTTAGCAGAGGATGGGCAACACCTGAATGGGTATAAGGAGCTGAGGAAACATCCCAGGACACTGAGGCTAGCCAGCCCACAGGCTGCTGTGGTGTGAGGGAGAGGGGACTGAGAGGTCCTAAAGGTCCATCCAAGTCTGAGAGGCGCTGGGGGCAGGCTGGTCCACTGCCAGTCGTGGGAACTTGCTCGTGGGCCCCCTCACCCACTCTAACACAGACGGGGTCCCCAGCTTGGTTGGCAGACACCTGCCTGACGAGTGGATCCCTTGGGAAAAGGTACTATTCCCTCATCCCATCCCACGGCCCCTGCTCAGCTACCCTCCTCTGCCTCCCAGGCTTCTGCCTCAACCCTACTGATCTGACCTATCCTCTCCAAAGCCCAGATCTGATTCCCTCACACCCTGACTTAAAATCTTTCACCCATAGGACTTTGGAACTTATCCTGCTGCTGGCCAGAGGGCCAAGGACGATTCTGGAGCAAGGGAGTGAATGAGTTATTTTTGGTGATGCTTTTGGCTGCTGTATCCTCTGAAGGAATTTTCAAGGAAAAGACCTCAGTCTGAAAGGCACCGGCCCCCACCCCCTCAAGCAGAGCATGGTGCCTCTTCAAGCTGTTTTATGTGTAGAGTGAGCTTCTGAATTGTTTTGTGTGTGTGCTAAGAATCTAAGTATTTTTAAAAAACACGATGGCAGCGCCTGGGTGGCTCAGTCGGTTAAGTGTTACCTTTGACTCAGGTCATGATCTCGGGGTCCTGGGATCAAGCCCAGCGAAGAGTCAGCTTCTCCCTCTCCCTCTGCCCCCTCCCCCCCTGCTTGTGCTCTCTCTCTCTCTCTCAAATAAATAAGATCTTTAAAAAAAACAGAAAAAACAAAAAACAAAACCACTGATGTTCCAAAAGGTGGAAACATCCAGCATCTGAAAAACGGATAAACAAAATGTGGCCTATCCATACACTGGCGTATTACTCAGCCACGAGGGAATGGCATGCTACAACATGGATGCACCTCAAAAACACCATGCTGAGTAAAAGTCAGACACAGAAGACCACATACTGTACGATTCCATTGATACGAAATGCCTAGGAGAGGCAAATCCAGAGACAGAAAACCCACCAGGGGTCGCCAGGGGCTGGGGGGAGGGAAGAACAGAGTGACTGTTAACGGGTACAGGGTTTCTTGGGGGGGGAGGGGATGAAAATGTTTCAGAACCACAGAGGTGACGGTTGCACAATATTATAAATGTAATAAATGCCACTGTATTGTTCACTTTAAAATGGTTAGTTTTATGATACACGAATTTTATGTCATTAAAAAAGAAAAGAAGAAAAGCACTGACTTAGATCCCCTGGGAAGGCTCTCACCGTCCCTCCCTGGCCAAGGCTGGTGTTCTGTGGTTCCTGGAACACACCAGCCCTTTCCTCCACTGTGTCTCTGCAGGTGTCCCTTCCTATCCCCCACCCCCCCCCATCCCTGCCCTGTCCCTCCCTGTGGCCTTGTCAACCTTCCTAGCCCTCAGGACCCAGCAAAAGAGGCTCCTCCTCTGTGAAGCCTCCATTCTTGTTCCTCTGTGCAGGCCTGTCACCGTGTAATGGACAGGAGGGTGGTTTTTTCTGCTCCATCTTTCTTATGAGGCCAGGAGCCCCACGAGGGCTCGTGCTATACCCTGCTCATCTCTGAAACCCTGTGCCTGGCACACAATGGGTATGTGGACCTGGACCTCCCCACTCCAGCCCCTGCCCTCGGATGGCTGCAGTAGCCCCCACTTCCTCCCCAGTGCCCACATTCCATTTTCCACATGGGGTCTTTCCAAGGCCAACTCTGATGGTGCTACTCCCCTGATTCAAACCCTGCAGGTGCTGCCCACACTTCTTGGGACCAAGAATTAAATCTCTGCTGTGGCCTCAGGTCTTGGGTGGTCTGGCCCCTCCTCCTGCCCAGACTCATGTCACCTTCCTTGCCCTGCCTCAGTGGCCCTGGCTTTCTTGAAGCTTCTTGTGGGCCCAGCTTCCTCCCACCAGAGGATCACCACGTTTGCTCTTCCCTCTGCCAGAAACACCCTCTGCCCAATACCACCTCGGCCCAGTAAATACTCCGCCATCCACTCAGTATATATCCACTTCTTCCCGGAGGCCTTCTCCAACCCATCACCTTGGCCACATCCCCCTCTTAGGGCTCCACGGCCCCCCTTAGGGGTACACCTTGCAGCCCCTCTGTTTTGTTGGTTGTTTGCCCAGCATCCACCTCTCCAAGACGGCAGGCCCACCATGTTGGTTTTACTCATCACCGTAACCCCTGCTCCCAGATCGCTAGGATCAGAGACCTTCTCCTAAGAACATCCTGAGCCTGGAACAGAATAACCTGCGGTGGGCACCTGGGTCTGACACCAGCTGCCCCCCGCACTGTGGCGCAGGACATGCGTGCAAGGGGTGGATGGGAAAGAGTGAGTGAGTGTGGGTGAGTTTTAACAGTGAAGGTCATGCAGAGGCCCTAGGTGAGGGAGGAGGAGGATGTCAATGGATGCCCCGGCGCAAGGGCTCAGATTTTGGAAGAAGGAGAAAGTGTGTAGGGAAGCAGGAGGGAGAAGTGCAAAGCTGGGAGAGAAGGAGCCAGCATCTGGGCTCCTAAAGGGGCAGTCACTTGAGGCCAGACACTGTGTCTTTGTGGAAAGTCTCACCAGTTCCTTCCAGAGCCCAGGGCCCTGCCTGCCTGCTGGAGCCAGTCCTCACCAAACACACCCCAGGGCTTTCACTGTGGCCTTAGTAGGGTGGCCAGCTGGATTCTGCCCCCGGGACTGCTGCCTGGACCCCAGGCCCTCGAGAATCCTAGTCTCCCTCCTGGAGCCAGATGCCCTCCTGGGCAGGGACTGGCAAGTGAGTGATTCCCAGAGTCTCCAAGGTTAAGCCTGAGGACTCCACATTCTGGGTCCTTTTTCCTGGGTCAGGACCCAAACATAAGGCCATAAAAGCACCGGAATTGGGAGACCTTGCCCCTAGCCCTGGGAGCTGCCCACACGGCAGATGTGAGACAAACTAAGCCATCCACTCTGGAGACCGAAGATCCAGCCAGGAGGGAATTCCATCTTAGAGACCTCGGCTCCAGCTCCCACCCCTGGCACCTGTCCTGGTCCTTCTCCTCCCCCTGCCATGCTCTGAAAGCAGGAATTCCAGAAAAAGCAGTAGGATCTTTAGAGAGGAGCTACCCCTCCCTACAGTCACACAGAATCTGGCTATAGACAGAACTAAAGCTACAAGATGCAGCGGCCTCCTGGCCTGATATGTGACCAGGGCCCAGAGCCTAGTGGCTGTGAGTCAGAGACAGACCCGGCCATCCCCTGACTCTCAGGCCCAATGTCTGCTTCTTAGCTGCCCGCCTGTGTCCCGGCCCGTCCTCGCCGGCCCGCCTCAGGCTGTCCCTGTTCTCGGTCAGTGGTTCGGCCCGCCTTACCACGGTTGCCAGGCTGGGAATGTGTTTGACCGAATTCTCGACCTCCTCTTCGGTCACCTCGACCAGCGTGCAGTTCTCGTCCTCCGATGGCAACGGCTCCGCCCCATGCCTCGTGACCCAGGGGTGCAGCTTCAACGAATGATAGGAGGGGTGAGGGGCAGGCGACTGGCTCCCAGGGGCCGGAGAGCGACACCGAGGCCCTGCCAGCGAGCGGAGCCAGGGAGGGAATGCGGGAGGGCAGAGGTGGTGGCCTGAGATCAGGCATGCAAGAGAGCTGGCAAGCCAGGCAGAGGGTGGGGGGTGAGCGAGATGCAAGGAAACGTGGAAAAGACGGAGGGACAGACAATGGGAGGGAGCCACCAGGCCGCGATGTGCACCGGACCGCATTTGCCACCTGGCCCAGGTCTTGGCAGAAGTGACCAGAATTTGGCATCTGCCTTGTATGGTTGCCCAAGAAGCACCCATCACCCCTCAGCAACTTTCCCTGATGCCCCCCGGAAGGCTCTGCTCAGAGAAAGCAGACCCTCCCCATTTCACAGAAGGGGAAGGGGAGGCACAGTGAGACCAGTTAGAAGGACACAGTCAGGAGAGGATCCGGGCAGGGATCTGCCCCAGCCCGCTTCCACCCCTGGGGTCCAAGTCCTTATCTGTAACCACTTGGCCTCCCTCTTCTCAAATGCTAGTTAGCTAGATGCCTAGGAGTTCCTGAAGCAAACCTCTAGATTTCTTAAAGAGTCAGCTGTCTGCGTGTGGCACTGGTCAGGGTGTAGGGGGTGCACAGGGATCTCTCCTAACAGTGCTTTCTGCAAAAGGATGGAATTCAGCAGGCTGGGGAGAGGGTATCAACCTGCTCACTAATTTCCTCCCACCCCCACTGAGATTTCTCCAAGGGATGGGCAGGGTCAAGGAAAGGATCCAGGACTTGGGCAGCCGGGGTACGGAGCACACAGAGACCCCATTCTGGTCTGGTCCCGGCAGGGTGGATGCCACCAACCCAAGCCGATCGGAGTGAGCGCTAGCCGCCCCACTGGCAGCAGATCCCACTGCCACAACCACAGTTAACACAAGTCCAAGTCCTCCTCTCCAACCCCCACCACCGCCAGCCCTCAGCAGCAAGAGGCCCAGGGCACGGGAGGGTAACGGTGCCAAGGAGGACGCAGTGCTGTGGACGGAGGGGAGTGAGGCCTGGCCGAGGCAGGGTTGAGCCAAACAATCCCAAGCAGAGGACACAGGCCTGGCCCCTGGTGCACACCCCATAGAGGGCGGTGGCCCCCAGGTGTACCTTGATTTCCGGCACCACGATCCTTGATTCCGGGTTCTTGTCCAACATGCGGGTGATCAGGTCCTTCAAGTCCTCAGCTATGTCAGGCCTTGCGCGTGGAAGACACATCAAGGGTGAGAAACACACAGAGGACCACCAAGGCCTTGGAGAGGAAGGTGACTTGGGACAGACGGGCAATACTCACTGATCTGGAAATTCCAGGGCCTGACTCTTGATCTTGCTGTGCAAACACATGATCCGCTCGTCCATGAATGGGCACTGCGAAGAGACGGCGGGGACAGGGTGGCCGTCAGCGGCTGCCCCATCAGTCCTGCAAGGGCTACCCGGTGCTGGCATCACTCCACGTGGGTTACAACGGAAGAACAGACGCCCGGGAGCCCACTGCAGCGAGGGAGCAGCTCCCATGCCCACAAGTCCAGAAGGACCCGGAATATCCTTCTACAGGGCTAGAGCCCCTCCCAACCACACTGTGGCTTTCCTCTGCAGCTGTGCTTTAATTTACCTACGTAAACAAAATCAAAGACTCTCCCCACCCACCTGCTGGGTGAACAATAATAATACTAAGAACAATACCTAAGATGTAGCAGCAACAGTAGTGATTCGTGAGGGCTTAGGCTGGGCCAGGCCCTGGCCTGGGGTTTCTCAGCACCAATCTTCACTGGCTGTTCCCTGTCTGGAGTGTTCTTCCCACCAACATCTGCATGGCTCATTTTCTCCCATCCCTCAGGTATCTGATCAAAGCTCACCTTCTCAGGGAGGCCTTCCTGAGCTCCTGTCTAAAGCAGATCCCCCCCCCCCCCCTGTCCCGTGATTTCTCATCAGAGCGCCCATCCCTGACATTATGTTACATTTGCATGCGTGTACTGTTTAGCTCCTGCGGGGGAACATCAGCTCTAAGAGGGCAGGGACTGTTGCCTGTCTTGCTCCCTGCCGTTTCTCCAGTGCCCAGGAATATCCCGGGTACAAAGCAGGGGTTTGATAAATACCTGTTGAATTAATGAATGCTTGAATTATTTCTGGTGATCCTCTCAGAGCCTTAAGAAATCATAAATATTCTTCTCATTTTACAAAAGAGAAAAACAGAAGCTCAGAGAGGTGACATGCCCCGGGGAGTATAAAGCTGGGATTTACCCAGACTGGACTGACTCTGAAGACTGTTCACACACCACTTCCCAAATGACAAATCAGTGCTCTCACTCGGGGGAGGAACCGACGACCCGGGAGGAGCTCAGGTGCTGTGCTGGAAAAAAGGAACCTCTGTGTGGGTGCTCAGAAGGTGGGAAAAGGTCACAAAATGTGACCTGGTCCTCTCCTGTCCGAGGAAAATTCTTTCATTAAGAGCAGTAACTTGAGGGCGCCTGGGTGGCTCAGTTGGTTGGGCGACTGCCTTCAGCTCAGGTCATGATCCTGGAGTCC